ACTCGCAGACGTTAACAAATGCGGAGTAAAACCATACCGCATAACTGGACAGAGAGCTCTCTATCTCGTGAGGTTCCATCCGCTCGATCCCCGTGTGAGACTCGGTTTAACGGAATAGAAGCTCGTTTTGTGACGAAGTTAGCAACTGGTTTTACTCCGCATTTGTTAACGTCTGCGAGTTTTGCAGTTGAGGAGTGCTGAACAATTGAAGGGAGATTCTACCATATGTTTTGAGCAGTTGACCTTTTTTCACGTCATCTGTCTTAACGGAGAATAGCACTAAAATTTTGCAACATTAACTCCTCCTAGTTCTGATGCCTGGGCATTGTGGTATTTTGATCCGATTTTGAAAGACTTCTCAATCTAGCAGGGAGCGTGATGTGTACATTTGATTAGCTGCCGAAGATACATTTGTCGCCTGTCTAACCAAGTTATGAAGGTGTAATCATTGTTTCCCTCCAAGACACACTGCACGGATTCCTGCGAGGTGGATCCTACAAATGTGCGGGTGGGCAGTTCCTAATCTGTACAATTGCACGAATTCCTGCGAGGTGGATCCTACACATGTGCGGGTGGGCAGTTCCTAATCTGTACAATTTTACTAGGTTTCCGCTCTCTTAAAGACACATGGTACGATGATAATTGATGTATGAACTATAGCCAGCTGATGACTTACCCCCAACTCCCTGAAGCAGACCTGAACTTGCCATCGTCCGCCTTAGCACTTTTGGCGCCAGAGTCCGTCCTTCATAACATCCGTTGCAAGCGCGCGTGTCGCGTGCGGTTCCTTGGCACTTTGCCAAAGTCCTTTAATTGCGCTCTCAAATACGAGTAAAACGCAATTTCCTGATGCGGATAACATTGGAGGTGCTACAAAATAAGAACAGAAGATGATGACAAGGGCCAGAACTCAAGAGCAACTCGGCTGCATCCGCAGAATCCATCAGAGGCCGCGCATTCCCAGAAAACATGAGAATAAAAACAATCCAGCCGTGCCCACTTTTTATTCGTAAGTATAAGTATTCTATGGCTTTGGCGCCGGATTCGCGCCGGATCGTAGAAATTTACAGGCGATTTCAACTAATTTGCCTTTCCTTGATTTTTTCATTTTTGTTTTATTTACATTTACATCGTTGTGCCTTCATTTCTAGCCTGTGTCATCTTCATCTCCTTGTACATGGATTTTGAAGTATGAGCAACACCTAAAATTTTATTCGCATCAGGAAATTGCGTTTTGCTTGTATCAAACTAACGAGTGTGCCGTTTTATTTTCATGTTTCGTGGAAATACGCGGCCTCCGAGGGATGTTGCAGAAGTGGCACAGTTGCTTTTAAGTTCTGACCCTCGTCATCATCTTCTGTTCTTATTTTGCAGCACCTCCAATGTTATCCGCATCAGGAAATTGCGTTTTACTTGTATTTGAAAGCGCAATTAAAGGACTTGGCAAAGTGCCAAGGAGCCGCACGCGACACGCGCGCTTGCAACGGATGTTATGAAGGACGGGAATCTGCGCCGCAAAAGGTGTAAGGCGGAGCATGGAGGAACTAGCGTGTTTCACGGTCCTGTATCTCCATTCCTGGGCATGTTTGGGCGGGGGGACGACGACACATCGACAGCTGGGGGCTGATAGTCTCATACACCCTCAATGTGTGTTGAGCGTACTATGTGTCTTTAAGGCTGCCGTCCGCGATCAGATGTAGAAAGTTGAAAATATGGCCTCGGGAGGGTAGTGTGGTCTGCGGCGAACAACCTTGTACCGATTCCGCCACAAAAAAAATTGTAAGGAAGGGCGCTGTAGCGCAATAGAGGTTCAGTGACGCTCCTTTCCAGTGACTCCGCCTCCAGACTCCGCCTTCAAGGCCCGCCTTTCATTGAAACGAAGCTGCCGGCGAAAAAGCATGAAAATCGTTGCTTTTAGGTTGTAGAGTTCTTGTTACATAATCAATTGTGCAGATGAGGGCGTAATGTTGGACAGGTAGTACGCACTGGGCAGGTACAAACTGGGATCGAAATGGGGTTATATCTAAGGCAGTGGTATGTCTCTCTAATTTTTTCACTATCATTTTACTCAGCATCTCATCGTCTATATGCGTACCCCTTATCCACTATCTGTGGTGACGAATGGTTGCGGTACTGACGCGCGCACGCACCGCAACATCCGGTTCCGAAGCGAACAAGATGAGATCTTCTACTCCCTGACCTGACGAGGCCATAGATCGGTTCCGGAAGATGACTACCTCACCATACTGGGGATCTGAATAGCCATGTGGGAAGTGACAGAAGGGGTCTAAAAAGGGTGCAGGTGTCCTGGACTGGCCCATGTGGGTCTGGGAGCCCAGCCTCCAGTATTCTTCGGCCGAGGCTATCCTTTTCTACCTTGCCCATTTTCCACCACCGAATTCTCCGCTCTGCTCTCACCCTCGTCTTCTTGGGGAGGTCTATGGCGATGTCTGCCAGGAGAGGCCTGTGCTGAGGGCCCAGCTCTTCCCCAGGCAGTACCTTGATATCCTTGACGGTTTTGAGAGACGATCTTCTGACCAGGACATGGTCGATTTCCGTTTGTCTCCCTCCATCTGCTTGCCAGGTTACCTTCTGCATGCTCTTTACGCGAGGTGCTGGCAGATTGCTAAGTCGTGAGCTGTGGCTAGTTCAAGGATCCGTTCTCCCTCAGCGTTCTTTGCCCCTATTCCTTGGCCTCCGTGCACCCTTTCTAGACCCCTTCTGTCACTTCCCACATGGCCATTCAGATCCCCAGCTATGGTGAGGTAGTCATCTTCCGGAACCGATCTTATGGCCTCGTCCAGGGTCAGGTAGAACTCATCCTTTTCCGCTTCGGAGCCGGGTTGTGGTGCGTACACGGTCAGTACTGTCCAGTACCCCTCCTTCGTGTCCATTCTCACTCCCATGATCCGGTCACTGATCCTGTTCACAGTGGAGACGCAGTCCTTGAGGGATTCTGCCACCGCTATGGCCACGCCTTTTGGTGTCTGCTCCATTGTAGAAGAGTTTGACACCTTCTCCGATCTCGCACCCTTCCATCGCGTTTCCTGAAGGCATAGGACTTGGATATTCCTCCGTCTCATGAGGTCGGCAACCTCACGAGACTTCCCGGTAAGCGACCCCACGTTCAGGGTCCCAATTCGAACTAGCTTCTTTGGCCGAGGTCGTTCACCCCTCGGTAGCCCTCGCATACTGACCACAGAACTCGGGCGAGGGTTCTGCGCGCCACTTCCGGGTGACGTCCTAGCTTTTACACTGATTCTTTTGCGACTTGTCATGATTGTTGTGACGGGTTCCTCCATCAGCCGGCCTGTCAACCTGGGCCTGACGCTGGTATCGTCCCCATTTTTGCAATTTTTGCAAGGCAGGTTTGTGCCTCGGCAGGGATCGAACTCGTGGCTCAGGGTGTACATGAGTCTACACTCTTAACCACTCGGCTCTCCCTGCCTGTAATTCAAAAACGCATTGAATTCTCTAAAACTGGTGACTGCTTATACCAGCGGAAACGTTGAGCACATTGTTTGTTTTTTCAAAGTGCTAGCTATTGTGCTGTTTTCACAGTACAACAAATACGGCTTGTGTTGCAGCAGTCCTCACGTACAACTGAAAACTCCACAAATGGTGTTCAAGCACAGGCAACGATACAGTTGGTGATGGAAGAAATGCGCCAATTGCGGGAAAAGCAGCGTACGACAGATAGCAAGATGCACGAGCTTGTAAAGTATGTCAAAAGAATCTTTCCTTTTGTCATCGGTCCAAAGAGACATTTCCAGGGAAAACGAGCAGTTATGGGAGCAAGTTACTTTGTTGCGTGCGCAACACAATCGTCAGCAACAGGTTGTTACAAAGGTGAGCTTTCATTTATGACGTATGCACCCAAATAGGGAGACGTCCAAGACAGTCGTAATTTGCTGCTCCGTCGCGCGCGGCGTTGTGTGCGGCGTTTCGTTAACTTCCCTTAGCTGTCGATTGGAATACCTCATCTCACATAGACTACGGCTTTGTAGACATTTATGGCCGTTTTGGGTCACACGTTGTCTACTGTCGCCATCTACTATTTAGAAACACGCATTTGGGGGAACGACGCCGCACACACCAGCGCGGCGAATTACGATTGTCTTGTCACACACCCGCGCACTTATAACATCATGGAACATCGTAGATGAGTTTATGTTCTTAATGGTGGCCCTGTTCGGCTTAGAGGTGATCTAATTAGCTCCCTCGACGTGGAGACCTGTAATTTTCTGTGAAGCTACATAATAATAAATATAAACAGAGCTTGTACTGGCCATCTCAAAAAGATCTACGAGCTCTTGTAAATCAATTATAGCCATGAACAATGGAGCCCCTACCATTTTGTAAGCTTGGGTTTACAGGTCTCACCAATGTCGTTCGGGTGAACTTGTTCCATTTCCCAGCTTTGCAAGATTTCACAGGTCTTATCAAGGTGGCGAAAATAGAGAAACTGCTAAGCCCCAAAATGCCCTCCCTAAGCCGAACACTGTGCTCATTTTTTAGACGGTAGATATGCAAAGTTGTTTCAGTTGGTCCAGTTCCTTGTTGCAATGATGCAACCAAATTCAACTGTGGCGAAGCGTGTCATGAAAAGAGGAGTGCTGGCCATCGACGAACCACCTCAAAAGCGTATGAGAATGAACCAGAACTTGAACTCGAACAATACCTCTAACTTGACAGATGTGAGTATTTTTTGTGAATCTACTTCTTTTCGCTTTGCATGATGCCTGTTTTACATTATTTATGTAGTCGACATTTTGAATATTGATATCGAATTTCTGAACAATATCTCCACTGTATTCGCTACAAGACCTGAGGAAACAGCAATACTTTTAGCATGATCTTTTTGCACGGTTAATGGTGAAAATCCTTGCAGATTCTCGATCGTCTGCAAAGAGAAATGCTGGATATTGGTGGTATACGTGGCGTTGCTGCTGCAGCCAGTCGTGCTGATGGTCCAATCATTGCTGATGTGACTGACGAATGGGTTCCAGGCTCTTCTTCTGGTAGTCCTCAGGGTCAAGCACAGAGGAATAAGCAGCCGCTCGGCATGAATGCGTTAGTCTTACTGGGCCTGTTAACCGTAGAAGGATTGCAACTGAAAGAAAAGTTCCCTTAAAGGTACAATATGTCGCCGAATATGCAAATGGCTGCATCAACATCTGCCAATAATACAACACCAGACGGTTTGACAAGTCCAAGAAGGGTGCAAAATGGCGAAGTTCCGCCTGCCATTTCTGGAACGGTGCAGGTGGGTTCTATAACTTTTAATTGGGCATTCACTAGTATGTAAATAGCAGACAAAAGGCTATGTTTAAAAGTCCTTCCGATTTAAATATCTGTGATGGAATTTTTGAACTTTCCTGCAAACATTTTTCGTAACATATTTTCTTTTCAAAAGTTTTAAACTTTTCTCTCAATAATGTTTGATATGGTCATTTTTTGAGACAAGCGGTTCAACATTGTCGCCCTCGATTACTATGTCACCCTCTCTTGAAAGGCAGTTCTCACAGGTTGGTTTTTGAGCACCTGACAGCAGTTTGAAAGTTTTATGTGATTTCCCTGTGTTCGCGTTGCGGTGTTAATAGCTACTCACCAGTAGATCGTAGCCTGTCGTTAACCACGATAAAATCCATGCTTTGCTTTTCTCCGTTACGCGCAAACGCCTCCTCGTGCGATTAGAGCTCATCGAACTTTGAGACCATTATTAAATTCTAGACTGATTTTCTGCGGGTGATGGTCGTGTGAGCGCGCCTGCGCTTGGCTCGCTGGCATTCCGTTTTCCACCAGTTGTTGAGGCGGGTAAGAGACAACAAGTGGAGAAAAGCGACTGATAGGAATGTTATCACAAGAATGCTGAGTTGTGGGCAAAAGTCGTGCCCCAGGCGGGAGTCGAACCCGCACCTCACGCTTTCCGGGCGAGTGCGCTATCCGTTACGCCACCAGGGCCGCTTTTACGATTACTGCTGACCGGCTCACCAAGTTAAACGTGTGAGTGCTGTAAGGCTACGGCA